ACTCAGTTATTGATTAAATGGTGTAATTTGGGTCCTGAACATACTACATGAGAGGATTATGCGGTGTTTACGTCCCGATTTCCTCACTTTGATCCATGGATCCCCTCAAGGTGAGGATAATGTGATGTTATCATTGAGTTGCAGGAATGATGAATGATAATCGTAGGTTGAAAGATAAAAAGGCCTAGATTATGAAAGAATTTGCTTGCAAAATGGAAATGAAGTCACGGGAGAAAACAAAGGATGCTGATAAGCTGTCACGTAACGACTTTGTTATCAATTAGTCATGTGACAGTGGGAATAATGATAGTGAAATACTGGAAATAGTAAGAAAAGTTGTGGGAATATTAGGAATAATAGGAATAGTTGTGCGATTGTCTTGCAATAGTGGGAATGCTGAGAATGACTTATAAACTTGTAAGTGTTATGAATGAAAATTATCACTGAATTCTCTTTCAATTTTTTCCTCGACTCATATTCTACTCTTGGTCTAATCTCTCTCTTTCATCACTATTCACAAGACCAAGGACGCAGCGTTAGCAAGCTTAGAGCTTCAAATCCTCGAACGAATATCAAAGCTCGAGCTCTTCACCTGCCTCAAAACGCTGAATCTCTCTCTTTCTTTTCTCCTCTCAATAACGATGATGCTATTGCCGATGTCAACGCTCGCCTCTCTAACATTCTATGATTCAACAGTGTCAATGACTTCTTTTTCAAGAGATTCCCCTCCGAGTACTACGATCGGCCCCTTGAGTCCCGTCGTGTTCATCATCTCTGCAAAATATCATTTTGGTTTGTCTTACTATCTTACATTAAATTGATAATTGATCATTTATCACATGTTAATACTTTTTTTGTTTTGATTAGACATGGGTTTTAATTAAATTACGAGTTGAGAAAATGGATTTGTGTGAATTTGTTTAATTACTTGAAAAATTTTGCTTGCCATTAGTTTACTTATATCATTAGATTCAATTAATTAGCGATAAATGAGATTGCAGATCTATTAAGGAGTGCGTGTAGATTAAAGTTTTAATTCATCTAAAGTAGCAAGGCGATTCATTTTAGTTGTTTTTTTAAATATAAAATGGATATATTACATAACGATGCCTAACTACAGAATTGAAGAAACATTATTTGAAGTAGTGTAGCAACTAATGTGAGAACGTTGAGGTTGGTTGCGTCAGAATATGTTTATGCAAAATAATAAGTGAAGGTGGAAAAGGTTAATTTGTTTTAGTTAAGGAGGAGAAAGACAAATGCCTATTTGTCATCTTGTAAGAATGGTTGATATTAATGAAGCTTGATATTCTTAACCAAAGAGTTAGTGGTTGACATGTCATATTGCTTGCCTGCGGTTATAATGTGAAATAGAGCCAAAAAATACTTGTGATGGACACCTGTGAAGTACCAATGGTATGTTTTTAACCTTTTGATAAGTTTTGCTATCATCATCATCAGCATATAAATTTGTGTCATTGTAGGTCATTATATCATTATTTGGTATACAAAGCTGCATGAACTTCGTCTGCCTGCCGTTGATTGCTTATGTGCTTTTGCACTAAAAACTAAGTTGTTTTGGGGTTTGATATTGGTGAAGAATCTTTTAATGATGGGGTTTTTTAAAGTTGCAACATGTGCTTTGTTTCCTTTTAAGCAATTGGATTTGTTAATAGATTTGATTGTTTTGGAATTTCTCTAGATCTTCCACTTTGATAATTATTCTTAAACTAAATAAATGTTTGTGAGAATTGAAACTGGCATTTGAAGTTCTTAAGCATTTTGTTATTAATTATCTTTTGAATTCCATGAACATTGATTTTTCTGTTCTGAAAGTGGTAGTATATACCAGCACTTGTAAACTAGATACATAACAGGTAAACTAGATACTTGAGTGGGAAAGAGAAAGGCTAAAAAATTTGGGATACAAGGGATTGTTTTCTTTTACATTTCCTCCTGTCTCTGTTAACTAGCTAGCGTATGTCAGCATCTGCACTACTTAAAACTTTGTCTTAGCTTAAGGATTGATTGGCCTCCAAAATAAGTGAACAACAAGAATAACACTGTTACAGCAGAAGATTTGTCTCTACAGACCACACTTCAGTTCCTCTTATAATCAGCAGAAACACAAAGTAAAAGATTTCCTTTAGGCTTAATCAAAGCTTTGCAGGGGCAGAACTCCAATTTCCACTCTGCTGCATTCTTTGCTCTGCTATATGACCAACTTAATAGCATAAACTCAGCCTTGAAAAGAAGCATAACAAAGTTTTTCGAGGGGCGAAATTAGCAACTCAGCTTGAGAATCACGGTGCTTCCATTAATGACACTCTTTGGAGCGCTTTTTTTCTTGATCAAAGACCCAAACCTTATCAAACAGGTATCCTTCTATCTTTTATTCTTTCTCTTTCCTTCTCTCTGAGCTTTGATAGAAATATGTGCATTGGTGTTTTGGTAATGAATCTATGCATGTGAAAAGGGAAACAGAAAACAAAGTTTGTGGTAGTTGGGATTTTTTACAATAATACGGTATAAAAGACGGTCTATCATTTAAAACATGGTTTTAGAATTTTGATCAGACATATTCAAATATGCATGTTCATCTTGAGTACCAGAAGGCTAGTGTAGATATCTTGGTTACTTCATTTTACCCGGTTTGTTAATTACTATTATTATTATTATTATTTTGTATTAGTATTTGTATTTGTTAATTAATGTTTTCAGGTTGAACCAAAGGAATTGATTTATTAGGCTAAATGGCTAATGAATGATCTACCCTTTATCTGTTCTTTTAATTGATCTGGTAAAAAAAAATTGCCTTTGATTTTAATAGATAATACGGTTCTTATGCAAAAACTAGTCCTAAGGAATTTCTAGCTAGCCCTAGATGGGTTATATGTACATCATGGATGTGGCAAGCATCTTAAAAGTGATTATTAGGAGAGATTTTAACTGTATGCTTCCTTTTTCCATTGTAATAATTTCAGCCGTCTTTCTCAGATGCCTCTCATTGGAGAGCGAACTAATCCTAATTTTCTTCATTTTTTAGTACGAAGGGAACATGGAAATATGAAGTTTTAATGAAAAATATTCTGATGAAAAAATCCGAGTAAATGATTGTTTAACAAGCGTTTTTATCAGTCTAACACATTTGGTCAAATTTCAAAATTTTACGGAGTCATTTTATAGTAATAAGACTTGATAAATATATAGTATATATATAATATCCCAACCGTTTTTCCCCTTAATGTATATGAAACATAATCATATCGATTTCTCTTCCTTCATAGGTATATATAATTTTATTCTATGATCTAAGAAAAAGGTCTACTTTAATTAATTTAGTTGGAAATTTATACTACTATTTTTTTATACGAGATTTAGATGATGAAATTGACAATAAACTTCGAAGTGAAAATTTTTTTTCTTTAATTAATATGAAGTGAATTCTTTTACTACCTTTTAATTGTTGTAAAGATTCAAATTCCATATATATAATCTATTATACATAGACATATTCAAGGGTTAGTTTACTCTTCTAAATTTGAAGGTTCATCCAAGTTTTGATGGGATTTAAATAAAAAATTAAAATTTGTTAAAAGGATTTGGTATAATTTTTATGTTCTTTTAAAATTTGGGCGAGATCTTAAACAAAATATTTAAAATATGAGTTTGGTTCGGTTTAAATTCAAATAAATATAAATTTTTTATTTTTATATATATGTGAACTATATATAAATTAATTTACATATACATAAATTAAAAATAAAAATATATATTTTATTAAGCTTAATTTTTATTTTTATATAAAAATTATTTTAAAATTTTATATATAATTTTTATTTTAAATTTTTATATATATGTGAATTGAATATAATTTTATTAAAATTAATTTAATAATTTTTTTAAATTTTTTATTGTATAAGTTAAAATTAATAGATGGATTTATAATTTAGTTTTTTAATTTGGGTAGAGTTTGAAAAAATTTTGAAGGTTGAAATTTGGGAATGGATTTAGGTAAACATTTAAACTATTAATATCAAATATGACTTCAGTTTGAATCTGGCTTGGCTCAATCCTTGAACCCTTTTAACTATAGGATATGCATGATCCTTTCTTAGTTATTAGATCAAATAAAAATATAATTAATTTTTTTTAAAATATCAAAAATAGTATTTTATAATTTTACAAAAACATAAAAATTAGTAGCATTATGATATTTGAAAATTTTAATTATTTTTTTATTTTTTTAATTACTGATGTTATCTTTACTTAAAATTTGAAATAAAAAATTTTTTATTTTGTCTTATAATAAAAAAAACAAAAATAAATGAGATTCTTAATAGAATATCTTTTACTGTGGATGAAATATTTTGTTTTGATCCACATTGACTAAAATTGCATAAAAATTTAAGGTCAAATTATGGTGGAGGTTCTTGTACTTAACCAAAATTTGAAATTTAATCATTACATTGTAATTCATAGAAATTTAATTTTCGTATTATTTTAACTTAGTAATTTTAGTTCAATCATTAATTTTATCAAATATTTATCGTTGAAAATGCTAAAATAGCAATTGACTTGATTACATGAGTATTGACTTTGTTGATATGATAATTGACTTTATTGACATGATAATTTGGATGGATGATATCAATTGTCAAATTATTAAAATAATTTCTATACTCTCACGAAATTTGAATTTTAGTCTTTATAATATAATTTATAAAATTTTCATCTTCATATGATTCAAATTTGATAATGTTGGTCTAATTACTAATAAAAATTATTTTTTATTTTCTTTAAAAATTCAAATTTTAATTTTTTAAACAAACTAAATTTTCAAAATTTTTAGAAATTTTTTCATATTTTTAAAAATATTAAACTAGATTTTTTAATATTTTTAGTTAAAAAAATAAAAAATTACCTTAAAATCAGATTTTATTTTTTCAAAAAATTAATATTTTTTTATAGAAATTTTTTAGATTTTTTGAAATATCAAATTTATATGTTTAAATATATATTTTTTAAAATTTCATTTTTGTTTTTTTTAAATTTTAACATTTTTATTTAATCAAAATTTTTTATTTTCTTGTTTTAATTTTTTGGAAATTTCATAAAATTTTCTATATTTTTTTAATTTTTATGTTTTTTTTGAAAATTTTTATATTTTAAAAAAAGAGTTTATAAATTTTAAAAATTTTCTACATGTTTTTTATATTATTCAAGTGAATAATAAATCAGAATCAGAAACTCTTTGTATTTCATTATTACTCTATTTTACCTTATATTTTTATATTTAACTACAAATATATCAAAACAGAATAAATTATAATAACTTATGTTTTCTTTATTATTTATTTATTTTTCATTTAAATATAAAAAATAGTGAAAATTTCTTAAAAAATAAAAAATGCAAAAAAATTTTAAAAAAATCAAAAAATATATTTTGATTAAATAAAATGTTGAAATTTGAAAAAAAAATATAAAATCTTTCATAAAATGAATCTTGTTTAAGAAATTTTAAAATATTGAAAAAATAAATTTAATATTTTAATATATTTAAAATATTTTAAAAATAAAATCTAATTCAAAAAAAATAAAATATGATTTTAAAAATTAAAATATTTAAAAATATTAAATTTAACTTTTTTTAAAATATGAAAATCTCTAAAAAATGTAAAATATTGATTATTTAAAAAAATAAAAAAAATATTTTTATTATTAATTAAACTAGTATTATCAAATTCAACTTTATGAGAACAAGATTTTTACAAATTATACTAAGGTTTAAAGTTTAACTTTTGTGTGAGTATATGAATCATTTGCATAATTTGATAACTAATTTTTTTTATTTAAGTTGTCATGTCAGCAAAGTTAATATTTATATTATCAAGTCAGTTATCACATTAGCACTTTTAGCAATAAAAATTTAACAGAGTTAGTGATTGAACTAAAATTATCAAATTAAAAAAGTATGAGAACTAATTTTGTAAGAATTACATTATATGAACTAAATTTTAAATTTTAACAAAGTGTAGGGATCTCTAACAAAATTTGACCAAAATATAGTAAGATGATAAAATTATATAAAAGACAAGTAGAATGATAAATATGGAACCCAAAATCTAGTTAGTACAATGGTAAAATTGACCTTTTCTCTAAAATTAAATAATCAAATAAACTAACTAATAAATTAAAATATCACTAGAACAAAACCCACAATAATAAAACTTTAATCTAAAATTTAAAACATCCTTCTAACCACTAAACCAATACTTAGTTGACACAAGTAGCACATTTTTAGTTTTTGGGCCAACGCATATATTTTAGATAAAATTTTAAACAATTTCGTGTGTTCTTTGAATTGTCTGTCTAATCATGAGTCTAATGCCATCCATCAGAAAAAAATAATAATAAAACACATCATTTTGAAGTTTTTACTCTGCAACTGCAAGTGCTAGTGCAAGGTCTCCATTCATAATTTTTGCCTGAAGTGCCAGTGCACTCTGCAACTGCATGTGCTGTGCATGGTCTCCAATGCGGCGACGTCCATAGCAGTGTTGGTGTCACGGCCTGTAACATTCGTAACTGGAAATGCCAAGAAGCTGGAGGAAGTGAAAGAAATCTTGGGCCAATTCCATCCCTTTTCAGTCCCTCAAGCTTGGTCTTACTCTCTTTCCCCTCTCTTCATCTCCTCAATATTTTCAGTCTTTTTTTCTTTCAATTAATTAAAATATTCTACTCTTTAAATATTCTTTTCCTTTTTAATTGTTTAGTGCCTGAACTGCAGGGTGTTGTTGCTGCAAGATACATGTCTTTGTTTCAATGCCCTACAGGGTCTTCCAGGTATATATCACTCTTATTATATTTTTATTTTTTTTCTGGATTTTTTCTTGGATTTTAGTTAATGACTTTTTATTGTTCAACTATTTGCAGGGCCATGCATGTATGTTCTATTTCATTCTTGCTAAATTCAAAGGTGTAACCCTTATTCTCACTTCCATTTGATAAAAACTGGGTTTGGAATTAGAATTGGAAAGAATTGACCAAAATGAATAGCATTGAAATGCAAAACATTTTTTTATTTGTGCTGCTTTTTTATTTAATTTTTTATAAAGGAAATTATAACATGAAAATAGAAAAAAAGATTGAAGGTATTTGAAATTTAAACTCTATAAATCTATTGGATGTCATCTACTGAGCTAAGCTCCAAGTCCTATGATGCTGCTATTTTGATATTTGGAGAACTGAACCTATTGAGTTAATGATTATTCCATAAGCATGATGTCTTGTTAGGCCTACTTGGAAAAGTAAGTGGGTAACCCTTTTGAATAGATTCTTTGCACGTTCAGCCAGCTTCTGCTACGAGCTTCTATACCATCAATTGATTCCTTTTAGTTTTTTTTTTTTTTTTTTTGAGGGTTTTGTCCAAATCAATTTGAATATATTCTTTGCACGTTCAAATCACTTTGAATTCCCAAATGCCCTTTATGACAAGAAAGATCATTGTTGCCACAGTGGAGGTTCATTGTATTAGTATAATCCCTTGCTGAAAAGAGGGAATGGTAACTGATCTCAATTATAATAGTCCATCTATTTTAGAAGGCTTCTTTGATATCTTCTATTCCTGTTGTTCCTATTCCATATTCATTTTCTTAAATTTCTAGTTTTAAGCCTAATCTTTATTTTGTTATGGTACGAATAATATTAATTTAGATATTTTAATTTTGTCATGTCATTTGTTCCAAACTCCAACCAATTTTAATCATGTCATATTATTTGTTCACAAACATCAACTCCATTAACAATATGCTAACGTGACAAATAATTAACAAATAAAATCATGATATATGATATAATTTCATTAGTCAATATTTATCGTGTCTTTATTTTATTTAATACCATTAATCAATGATGCAAAATGTTCGATGGAAGCAAATTTAAAGTACTAAATTGTAATTTTTTTATAATTATCAAATTGTAAAAAGTGATATAAATAAGAACCAACTTAATTATACATCAACCCTTTTTTTTTTTTTTACTTTCGTCAAAATTTTAAGCTGCTTCAAATGCTCTCCCCTAATTTGTTTACTTTACTTTTGTCACTTTTTCTACGTTTGGACAGCTTGTTGACGGCATATGAGGATAAGTCAGCTTATGCTTTAAGTGCTTTTTCTTTTGCCCTTGGGCCTGGTGTTGTACCTATTACCTTTCTGGGGAAAACTCCGGTTTGTTTCCACAGATTATTATTCTGCTTTCTTCCCTTTACTCTTCTATCTTTTTGAGTTTAATTTTGACCGAAGAATGGTCTAAATATGACCATAAAAAAGCACAAAGCAATTTGGTTTTGGACTGTACAAATTTACCTTGGCAAGTGAATAAGACCAAAATGGCGTAATAATCAGAAAGTGCTGGTGCTTACTAATTTAAATATCTTTTGGACAATTAATGGAAATCAAAGAACACAGGGACAGAGAAAATGGGGGTGGTATTGGGGAGCAGGTATTCATGGCACTTAAGGGCATGAATTGGTAGAATTACTAGGAATTTTCTCATTTCTAAAATATAAGGTTCTGACATAGTGCTGCGTATAAGTTTTTTTTTTTTTTAAATTATCATGATTTGAATCCAGATCACTTAAATTAAGAGTTCAGGACTTTCCCAACAAGCCACGTAGTGGTTGGTAATGCGGCATTTATGTTGATGGTTTCTTTGTCCATGAAAAGCTAAGAACCATATGAGGGATATCCTGCTTTATCAACTTGTTCTTTTCATTCTTATATTAGTGAGTATAAAATGCACCTGCATCATTTCAATAAAATAGATTTTGAACTTGGAACATAATCTCCTGCCTCGAGAGAATTTACTGGTCAGTTGATCAGATGCTCCGAGTAACTGAAATGTTAGTTTACTCCTCTTTCCTTCAAAAGTATATATATACTGAGCCTCATACGCGATGCCTAGTTTATCTCCTTGACCAACCATATGCAACAAATTCAGGACGTCACTCAAACAGGCAAAAAGAAAATGTCTTATTTATGAAAAGAGCATTGAAACCACAGAAGAAGATAAATTAAAATGATAATTTTGATCACTTTAGGTCATATTCGGTGCATATAATAATAGAATAATATGATAATTATTTTATATTATATTTAATTTATATTTAAAAAAATAAAATTATAAATATAATTAATCATTTTTTAATATAAAATGATTTAATTATTTCAAAACCAAAATAATTATTTTTAATTTATAAAATTAAATTTATATATTTTATTATATTTTTAAAAATTATTTTAAAAATTTAAATTTTATAAATTTTGAGATATTGACATCCAAACAACTTGTCCAAGGTATGGCCAATAAGAAGAAACGGTTCTCACGGGATGTGGGACTACGATAGTGTGAAGGAGGTCTGGAGAAGGGTTTCCCCTGAGATTTAAATAGCAGTGGAATAACAGTATAACGGCCACTATTTAGCGGTAACATCACCGTCCGCTGCCGTTATTGAGCAAAAATTGGAAGAGAACTTCAATCCCAACAATAGTGCCATATCGCAGCCATGAAAATCAAACGTAACGACGAATAACGATATAATATTCCCGATCATCCATTTTCCATTTTTCATTCAAAAATTCAAAAAAAAAAATCATTGGCTCGGGTTAATCAATTCACAAATTCAGCCGAAAAAACACAATACCTAGACTGCCAGAGACATCAATTCACTCAAATTCAACCCCAATCAACATTAAGCACAAGTAATTGAATGAAGGTAAGCAAGAAATTCAACATCCCAATTACCTTTTTTTCTTGAAAAATTTTCAATTTTGCAGGAGACAGATGAGAAAGTGGGATAATGTGGTGTCATGACTTTTTTCTTAAAGGGCATCCTCTGTTGACGAATTTATTTTAAGCCTACGATTCCCCTAAGAATGGATCTCTCTGTTGGATTAAGAAGGCTGAAAGCCAAACAGTCAAGTTCAAGTTGTCGACCTCTTGGGACTTGAAATGAGAAACCAAAACGAGAGATGAGAGATGACAATGAGACTTAAGGTTGAAAGAGATGAGCGAACAGCACACAGTAAGAGAACCGAGAGAGGAGACATAAGGGATGAGGGTGAGACTCTAAAGAGAAAAATTATGGAAGACATTTTCAGGGTATGAGAAGAGGTGGTGAGGAACTGGGATGAGAGGCGTAGGCAAAGAATGGATTGGGGAATTTAGGGGTCTACTGCTGGCATTGGAGAGGGAATTGGATGAGGTTGAGTGGGAAAAGGTGCAATATAGGAAGAAGACACCGGTGAGGGTTAATTTTTTAATATATATTTATATATTTAGGGAAATTCCTTTTTTTTTAATTTTGGGAGAAAATTTTTTTATTTAAGGGACATTTTGATATAAGGAAATTTTATTAGGGAAAACTTTTCTATAATTTAGATGAAAAAATAATTAAAGTTAAATGATTATGTATTGATTTTATTATTTTATTAATTTATAAGTTTGTATTTAAATTTTAGTAATGATTTTTTGGTATTTATATTGTTGTGATTTCTTAATATTAAATTAGTTTTTTTTTATTTTTTTATGTAATTAAATAATACTTAAAATGTCATCCATTATGTAATAAGTTGAAGGTCATGGCCATGGCATGGCAATGACATTCATTCACTATCAGAATTAAAAAAAATGTTTATTTGTATGTGATTTTGTCATTTACTACAATTATAGGGAATTATAATTGATTTGAGCTAAATAATAATGACAGTAATATTTAATTTGATTGTCAAGAGAATTGTTAAACAATGCAGCTTTGTCTTGAGATTAAAAAGAATTGTTAATTAATTCAACAGTATAACGATAAGTACTTACAATTCATGAAAATTTTGAAACATTGATATCATTTCTACTAAAGCAATACCAAAACTATTCAATTATATGAAAAATATAAAATTTTTAACTTAATAATCTTTTGCAAGTAAATAAAAAATAAAATATATGTAACAAACTTCAAAATTTATAAAAATAAAAATTTTTATAATTATAAATATAATTATTATATTTTATAATAAATATAATAAAATTTTTTAAATAAATTTACGATGATCACGATAATTATAATAATTTTATTATATTCGTAACTACATAAATTCGATATAATCGAAAATGCAACCACAACGATAATTTAAATCTTTAAGTTGACCTCTCACCTAAGTGGAGGGAAGTTAGACATATTGCGGACAAAGGATGGCTAAATGAAATTGCAGAGGAGGTAGACCCAGAAAATTGGGAGTTTGGCCCACTTCTCAACTGGGCAGTGTGGCATAACAGGAACCTAGCCATTAAAGAGGGGAAAAGTCGATCACCAGAAATGGTGGTGCAGTTTGAAAGAATTTACCTACAGGAATATAGACAACCAAATGAGGCATGGCTGGTAAGAGACAATGGAACCGAAATGAAATGGGAAGTTCCTCCCCAGGGATATGTCGAGCTCAATTTCTATAGTGCCCTGGATTTATCAAAAGGGGTGGGTGGTATCAGTGTAATCACAAGCGATGATAGGGGAAGTATTTTAGGGCTGCTACGGCTAGGGTAAGTCAAGTGAACGATCCAAAGGTGGTGGAGACATTAGCTGCAAAAAAATAAAAGCATTAAATATGGCTATAGCTATGAAATTAGAAACCGTCCTCACCGGATGCACTGCAGGTAATAAAGGGGATCCAAACTGTAGCTGACGACTTCTCTGTTGTGGGGAACATAATGGCAGACATTAGGATCAGATGCATGTCCTTATTTTCTTTGAGGGTGGAACATGTCAAAAGAACTACAAATATGGCTACCCATAGGTTAGCTAAATATGCAATGGAAACTAGTTCATCTGAGTTGTGGATAGGGAATGTCCCCCATCATTTAAGACGTTGTTAGCACTGATATTCAAGTTTTATAGTAATATAACCCATTCATTCAAAAAAAAAAAAACATGTATGGTACATGGATGATTGTTTGGCAATCATGTCTCATAAGTTAAAG